TCACATTCCTCCTCTTAAAAAAATCACTACCAAACACACAAACGAGCAAAATCACCCTACCCGAGCCACCGGGGGCCCTACCCATCATCGGCCACCTCCACCTCCTGGGCGGTCCGGTCCCCGTGGCCCGAACCCTCGGAGCCATGTCCGACGCCTACGGCCCGGCCTTCACCTTGCGGCTCGGAGCCCATCGGGCCCTAGTCGTCAGCAGCTGGCAGTCCATCAAGGAATGCTTTACCACCAACGACCAGGCCTTTGCCACTCGGCCCAACATGGCCACCGGCAAGTACCTCGGCTACGAAAACGCCAGCTTTGCTCTCTCCCCTTACGGGCCCTACTGGCGCCACATGCGCAAGATGGCCACCCTCGAGCTCCTCACCCCACGGCGCCTTGACGGGCTGGCCCATATCCGGACCTCGGAAATTGGGCTTTTCGTAAAACACTTGTACTCCATGGCCAACGACGTCCCAAACAAGGCCATAGCCCTAAGCACTTGGGTCGAGCACTTGACGTTCAACATAATCATCGGGAAGCTAGCGGGTAAGAGATACCCGTACGCTCATGATGAGGTTGGTCGTGCTGAAGAAAAGGATTATCGGTTTAAGGAGGCGGTTAAGAAAGCGTTGTACCTTAGTGGCGTGTTTGTATTGTCCGACACTATTCCTTGTTTGGAATGGCTCGATATCGGAGGATATATTAAACAGATGAAGGATACTAGTAAGGTAATCGACGACATGCTCGAGGATTGGGTCCGAGAGAGGGCTAAAAACAGAGGTGATGATGATGCAGGGGATTTCGATGGCTCGGATTTCTTGGATGCATTGATGTCGATTATTCCCGAGAATGAAACCGTGCATGGCTACACGAGGCTGACCGTCATCAAGGCAACAATGATGGTAACCATTTTTTTTATTATAATTTATATGAAAAAATTACGCGCGCACACGCACGCACACACGACTAACGAAATATATCTTTGTCCAAGATTCTAATCATGACGGGATCAGAAAGCACAGCCGAGACGCTCATTTGGGCCCTGTCGTTACTCTTAAACAGCCCGCGCGTCCTCCGCGAGGCCCAACGGGAAATGGACTCGACCGTGGGCCGGGCCAGGTGGGTCCAAGAATCCGACATAAAGGACCTGCCCTACCTGGAGTCGGTCGTGAAGGAGACGCTGAGGCTTTACCCGCCGGGCCCCCTTTCGGGCCCGCGCGAGGCGATCCGCGATTGCAGGGTCGGAGGGGCCCACGTGCCGAGGGGCACGCGGCTGGTCGTGAATCTGTGGAAGATGATGCGGGACCCCGACGTGTGGTCGTGCCCGGACGAGTTTCGGCCCGAGAGGTTCATGGACGAGCAGCACCGGGACACGAACTTCAAGGGGCAGTGTTTCGAGTACATACCGTTTAGCTCGGGGAGGAGAATGTGCCCCGGGATGGGTTTCGGGATGCGGGTCGTCCAGCTGGCGCTGGCTCGTCTGGTTCAGGGGTTCGACCTGTCGACGCCCGAGGGGGAGAGTGTAGACATGGGGGAAGGGTTGGGGATCGCCCTGCCTAAAGTGAAGCCACTTGAGGTTGTTCTTGAACCTAGGCTTACAAAGGAGATGTATGAGAGTCTCTAGATAAAAAAATAATTTGAATTGTATTGTGTATCATCATCTATATATAATTTGGTGAGAAATAAGATGGTTTTGAAAAATGAGATGAAGTTGGATGCTGTTATATTATATCAGTTGGAACATATATAGTGCTGATGTGGGAAAATTGTACTGATTGAAAGATGTGAGTTGTGAAAAAAAACAGCGTTGAAATATAAAGTAATACTTGTTTTACTTAATTTTACAATCTTCAGTTTTAATTGTATCCTTCCACTATTAATATTATAATTTTTAAGTGTTAGAAATATGTTTGTCTAGAAAGAATTATTTGTAATAACAGTAATAAGATGCATGTAAGAGTAACATGTCTTTTTTAGTTGTGCAGATAAATATATCTCATACAATGGCCTAATTTTTC